CCCACCGGCGTCAAATGCGCCTCTGAATTTCTCATGGAGGTGCCGTAAGAGTGATCCATTCCGACCCTCCAAAGCCCGGCCCGAAACACCAAGTTCTCCCACGCACAGCACAGCAGATATATTACTTCTGTCTTTCTTTGTTATGGGTGAAGGTATTGCCGCATTCATACCCCTCTCAACCGGTCCTTTCCTCCACCTTCCTTCTTCTTCCCTCCCCCCTGCCTCTTTTTCCCTTTTCGCCCTTCCTTCCTGCCCTCCTTCCTCCCCCCTCTCCTTCCCTATTCGTTACAGCATTTCGTAAGTGTTTACCGTTGCTATGGAAACCGCGATGATAGCGAAGGGCAAACCAACAGCCAGACAAAAAATTAAAATGGTATTGACTTTCCTTGACCTCCCTCTAACCCCCCCTCCCCTTCACGTACCTTTATTCCTTACCCCCCCCCTCCCTTTTTCTAACAAGCGTGCGGGTTTATGTATCGCCGTTTTCGGTGTAACTGTAGGTAACCGTAGGTACGTAAGGAGAGGTACGCGTCCCGAGAGCGTCACAGCTACGTCTCACATTATTATTTTATATGGAAGGGGTTGTGGGGGGGGGAGGTGGTTGGTTAGGTACCATTGACCTGCGTAAACGACTGGTATTCGATTTAGGCGTAAAGGGTAGTCATGGCGACACCTGTAAGCACCTTTTGTTGCTTATCCTTTTGTTGCTTCTCTTTGTGTTTGTTTTAGCCAGTACTTGGGGTAGGTTAGCTTAGGCCTTAGCAAATACTAATGTCTACACAAACACAACACACTAGTGCCCCCTACCCCCTCGCCTTCCTAACCTGACGTCGTTATTTGGAACTAAATGGTATAAGGCTGTCGAAAACGAAGAATTTGAAGGGAATTTGGGCTCTTTGTCCCTTCGGGTCGTTCCGTTTATTCATTTTTTCATTATTATCATTTTATAACTGCGAACCTAATCTAATTGGCAATTGATCTCCATTACGACCCCGTGCTGTTGATCACGATTGCCCTCTTGAAGACTTGTGACCTTCGCCGTAAATTATTGTTACACATTCATCACTGTGCTTATGGCGTTCCTTCATTACGGTGTTCGCTTTCGACCATGGCCTTCGCAGCACTCGTTTCGGCTCTTAATTAAGCCCGAGTCTGCAGAGCCCCCAGCACCCCCCCCCCTCCACACACACACACAATCTCTCTATCTATGTGTGTATGTGTGTGTGTTTGTGAGAGGAAGAGAGAGAGAGAGAGAGAGAGAGAGAGAGAGAGAGAGAGAGAGAGAGAGAGAGAGAGAGAGAGAGAGAGAGGAAAAAAAAGAGAGAGAGAGAGAGAGAGAGAGAGAGAGAGGGGAGGGAGAGGGAGAGGAGAGGGAGAGAGAGTGAGTGAGTGAGTGAGTGAGTGAGTGTGAGTTGGTTGGTGTGCGTGCGTGTGTCGTGTGTGTGTGTGTGTGTGTGTGTGTGTGTGTGTGTGTGTGTGTGTGTGGTGTGTGTGTGTGTGTGGTGTGTGTTGTGTGTGTGTGTCTGTCACACACACACACACACACAACACACACACACACACACACACACACACACACACAACACACACCATATATATATATATATATATATATATATATATATATATATATATATATAGATAGAGAGAGAGAGAGAGAGAGAGAGAGAGAGAGAGAGAGAGAGAACGACGATGCCCTGAGAGAAGGGAGAGAGAAAAGGCAAAGCGGCAGTCCGAAAGTAGACTCCCCCAGACCACGGCGTCCGGAAGCCCTACGTAACGGGGGATCCCACGATAGGGAGGGAAGCGCGCCCGGTCGACTTCTTTTGTTTTCCTTTCGCTTTCGGGGAGTGCATGGCGTTTCATGGGCGGCGGGCGGGAGTGAAATGCACGTTGATGAGTCTATTGGGTCTTGTGAGGATGCGGGGTCGTCGCGTGTTGCTTAATGACAGGGAATTTGTTTAGTCTTCGCGGGGTTCCAGTCTGTCATTTTATTGTTAGCGTGTTTGTTGTTGACTCGTCTCGTAAAGCGCATTGTATTTCCGGTCGACTGTGGTAATATTTGATGTTTGTTCGTTTTCATTATCTTTACAATGAACTATTGTGGTTTCGCTCCTGCACATCAAACACCAATGCGTTTTACAATGTAAGGTAAATATAAGTTATCGTTGACTGAGTCGGTTCTGTAGCAAGCGGAGGAAAAATTACGCAAAATTATCAAATAAATTGCTCATTCGCACCTTTGTTAGCATGATAGATAAAGAGCTATAAACATATCTGATGACTCAAAATTATCATGCGGTGGATTTCGTGTTCGACGAGAGCGTCACAGCGGTCACCATTCACCCTCTGTTGGTTTTATTTCGCTCCTGATCACGCTTTTATGAATTCTCTCTGTCTCTTCTCTCTCCTCTCTCTCTCTCTCTCTCTCTCACTCTTGCTCTCTCTCTCTCTCTCTCTCTCTGATTCCAGGGAGATAGATGGAGTGACTTGCAAAAGA